CGAGACCCGAACAAAACCCAGCAGATACGCCAGCCGATCCAGCCTGCAGCACCAACAGGGAAACCAACTTCACAAACAGCCACAATGAACCAGATACAGCACGGATCCTACGCTGAAGTTACCAACAGCACAGTCAACGCACACACACACCGTTTACTGATCCAGAGGATTATATCCTTCGTCATCGATATAATTCTCAGAGCAACGTCCGGTGACATCCTCAACAGTGACGAAATGATACAAGGCATCGTCAGGTCTGCACCATATTACTTCGGCTTCACGACTAGTGAGTTCGAGTCGCTTAGGAAGTACGTCTTCACTAGGATACACCAGGAGAAGATATATTGTTAAATGTATTATCTGTTAACATCCAGAGCGATTTAAACCAGAATAAATATGAATTGTTTGATCTGTGTAAATATATATATATATATATATATAGATGTAATAGCAACAAATGAAACTATGCTTAACGATAACAATAATTTCTATATGCCTGGATGCCGTAGTATTTCTAAGTTTGAAGGGCCTAACTGTAAGGTTATTACCATGTTACACGCTTACAGTCTAACGTTTTCCACTTTAAATATAAACTCACATAACGAATACATATTTTACGAAGTAAAACACATATTCACTGTTTTATGCTTGAGAAACAGCTTACTTTGAGTTATCTATCTGTAATAAATAAAGTACAATCAGCCTATCGTAATATTTCTTTTACAACATTAAACAATCAGTTCTACCCACCCTTTAGTGCTGTGTAACGCACATTAAGAAAGGAGATTACAATATATATACCATCTACATTTCTTCTATAGTTGTTACATCGATGTTTGTTTTAATCCTATCCGCTACACCCTTATTAGTTACACTCTTTAGCTGTTAGTTTACTACTTGTTACACCCTTTAGCTGTTAGTTTACTACTGAAGAAAGTAAATACACACATATACATACTACTTAATATTTTAGATGGGTCACAGGGGGTTAAAACTTCATCTCCACGAATAACAAAATCTCTG